AATGCCGAGAAGTTAGATGGAGGAGCTCGCTAAGTCCTTCTGAGAGTCAAGTTCTATAGTTATAACTTTGATGAATGTGGTTGATGAGTACAATCTGCTTAGGTGCGTAATAATTGAGCTCGATCAATTAAGCCTAAAGACCCATCAAGTGTTTTGGCCTTTAGTAATAGCTTAGTAGATCTATTTTTGGATCTATTATATATAAGTTTAGGTGTGAGACATGTAAATACATAAAATTTTTTTTTGCTATGTATTAATAGGGGTATTTACATAAATACCATACAAATTCTAATTTTTTTTTTAAAAGAAAAACAGAAATAAGCGTCCTACTTTATTCAAAGGCGCAACGCTTTATTCCACCACCTCTCTTCCCGCCATTTAAGCGGCATCTTCCAGTCTTTCACCTTATTCCCTTCCTCTTCCTCTGCCGCCGATTATGCGCCATCCTTCATCCTCCTCCGAAATCGTTCACCACTTCTCTTCCTAAGGATCGAAGAGAAAACATCCAACGCAGCCGCCTCAGGGCGGATAATGAAGCTGGTAGTGGAGGTGTTGGAAGCACAAGATTTGATCCCTAAAGACGGCGAGGGCTCGGCCAACGCTTTCGTGGAGGTTGATTTCGATAACCAGCGCTCCCGCACTCTCGCTGTTTCAAAAACCCTGAACCCCATCTGGAAGCAGAAATTCTGCTTCACTCTCAGTAGCCTCGAATCACTCCAAAAGCAGAGTATCGAGGTCTCCGTCTACAACGAGCGCAAGTCCTTCCCCTACCGCAATTTCCTTGGTCGAGTTCGAATCCCCGGCTCTGGCGTTCTCCAAATAGGCGAAGAATCGGTTCAGCGTTTCCAGCTAGAGAAAAAGTGGTTCTTTTCGTACGTCCGAGGAGAGATCTCTCTCAGAATTTACATTTCCCCTGATCCGAAGACACCTCCGGTTGAAATCGAAGCAGAGGAAGAGGGAGAGATACGGAGTAAGAAGAGGGAGGAGGAGGTCAAGGAGGTTAAGAAGCTCGCGGCCACCCGACTTATCAGCAAGCATCAGACCTCCTCTCCAGCAGTTGTGCCGGTCGTCATGCCGACGCTGTCAATGTCAGTACCGGCGGAGGAGTACAAGCTAAAGGAGGCTAGGCTTAACCTTGGCGAACGGTGGCCGGCGGGGGACAAGCAAGTGAGCACCTACGATCTTGTGGAGCAGATGAACTACCTCTACGTCCGCGTTGTCAAAGCCAAGGACCTGCCGCCGAATCCACTCACCGGCAGCGTCGACCCATACGTCGATGTGAAGCTCGGAAACTACCGCGGCACCACCAAGCACTTCGAGAAGAAAACCAACCCGGAGTGGAACCAGGTCTTCGCTTTCTCAAAGGAACGCATCCAGTCCTCAGTGCTAGAGGTGTTCGTCCGCGACAAGGAGATGGCGCGCGATGAGTACATGGGCAAAGTTTCCTTCGACCTCAACGAAGTCCCGACGAGGGTACCGCCGGACAGTCCCCTGGCGCCGCAATGGTACCGGCTTGAAGATCTCCGGCGACCTGGCGAAAACAAAGTCCGTGGAGAAATCATGCTTGCTGTGTGGATGGGAACCCAAGCCGACGAAGCATTCCCTGAGGCATGGCATGCCGACGCAGCCGCAGTTCAAGGCGAGGGAGTCTTCAGCGTCCGGTCCAAGGTGTACGTCTCACCCAAGCTCTGGTACATCCGCGTCACTATCATCGAGGCTCAGGACATCGTCCCCGTCGACGCCAGCCGAGCTCCAGAGATCACCACCAAGGCCCAGCTCGGTAACCAAATTCTCAAAACGCGGGTATCGCCGAGCAAGAACCTGAGTCCCGTGTGGAACGAGGACATGGTTTTTGTTGCCGCGGAACCGTTCGAGGAAATGCTCGTGTTAACCGTTGAGGATCGCGTGTCTCCCGGCAAAGACGAGATCCTCGGCCGCCTCCTTCTTCCCCTCACCTCCATCGAGAAACGGCTCCCCCACCGCCCCCCTCCCTC